AAAAAAAAAAAAAAAAAAAAAAAAAAAAATTGGGACACAGACATGTAACATAAATGTTACATGTTTAAAGAATGCTGTTGAATACACTATTCTTGAAGTCTTTGTTCTAAGGATGTGAGACATAAATTCGGACTGACTTGCTTTCTGGAAGACAGTTGTTTAATAACAAAATCATCTAAATTTTTTCAGAATCGCTCTGATTTTCAGTGCCAGCATCGATGGCAGAAAGTTTTAAATCCTGAATTGATAAAGGGTCCTTGGACTAAGGAAGAAGATCAGAGGGTAATGTGTTCATACTCTTTATATTCACTATATAGGTAGACTAGTTTTTTTCTTCCTAATGTGTTGTTTTGACATATGAAATATATGTTTAAGTCACTTTGATTTTGTTCTCTGGAGGCTACTTGCATGAGAATTGAATGTTAAGTGTCTTGAAATGTTGTTGGGTTTTTAAAAAATTGACTCAAACCAAGTATAACATACAGCCCTTTCTTTCTGAGAGTTTGGTTTGCAGAAGGAAAAATACTTGCTGTAAGGTTACTTACCTTGTTTTGAGCTCTATTTCATAACTGTTAGGGTACAGTTTTTTGTCAAAAATCTAATTAACATTTTAAAACAGATTTTCATTTTATTTTTACATCTAATAACTTGATATGCACAGAAGTCATTCTTAACTTTTTCTCTTGACCTATAATGAGCCGTGGATTAGATAGATGTCAGAGCATCATGTTTCCAAAGGTTTTGTGATTTAAAAACCAAGGTCATTGTTTGTGCTATAAAGTCGGAGATGAATAGAAGCTTTTCTGCACTCCACTAGGAATTGTTCTTTAGTTAATGCCTTTTAAGTCATAAAAGTTGCTAATGCAGTTGAGGCATTAGAGCATCCTTACTCCTGCTCAAAACAAACTTTATTTGTTACTCTTATTTTTAAAATTTTTTTAAATAAATAGAGATGGAATCTCGCTATGTTTTCCAGACTGGTCTTGAACTTCTGGGCTCAAGCAATCTGCCCATTTCGGCCACTCAAAATGCTGGGATTAGAGGCTGAGCCATCATGCCCAGCCAGAACAAACTTTAAAGTTACTTCACCTAGACTGCTCTGATTTACTTGATGGCTACTCATAAGTTTTAAAATGTGTGATCTTGTTTAAAAATACATTTACCAAAGCCTTAAATTTTATTTTTTAAAGATAGTAAATAGATATACATACAGTAAAAATATCAACATATATTAAAGTTAGTCTACCAATATAAAATGTTTATGAGGTGATATTTGACATAGGGCAGTGAGGTAAAGTGGGCTGGAATAACTATTCTTGCGATTTTAGGTGAAATAAAAACAACTGTAAAATGTGGAAAAAAGAATATGTAATCTGTGTCCTTTCAGTTTGAGAAAGGAAGAAATGACAGCCCCAATAACTTGGTAGAATCTTTCTGCTCCAAATTGTTTTTTTGTTTTTTTGTTTTGTTTTGTTTTTGGCTTTGTGCTGAAGCTTTTTTTTTTTTTTTTTTTTTTAATAGATGTAAGAGTAGAAAATGCACAAGTTTCAACATGTTTACAGTTATTTCAAGTTAATAGTGTATGAGAGCAATTTAATTTCAAGTGTCTTTAATTAGCCCCTTGGATTTTTAGATGCATTTGGAATCAATTTTTGAAGCTGGCAAATGCTAAAGGGGTATTTATTAGTAATTTTTTTTTTTTTTTACAAATTGTAGTTGTGGCTTGGATTTAATGCATTTATTTAAAATGGTATTCTTGAATTATGTTTTAAAATTCTTTCAAGGTAATGCTTTTTTAAACTTTGTTTTTCTGTTTCCTAGGTTATTGAATTAGTTCAGAAATATGGACCAAAAAGATGGTCTTTAATTGCAAAACATTTAAAAGGAAGAATAGGCAAGCAGTGTAGAGAAAGATGGCATAATCATCTGAATCCTGAGGTAAAGAAATCTTCCTGGACAGAAGAGGAGGACAGGATCATCTATGAAGCACATAAGCGATTGGGAAATCGTTGGGCAGAAATTGCTAAACTACTTCCAGGAAGGTGCTTATATAAATGTATATATATTTTTCTGTACTTAAACATGACCTTTATTACCTTACTATTAAATACATTTGCAAGTCGCCTATGACTTTTTAAAATTTATAATTAAAATGTAGACTATATTACATAAGCAACCTTTTGGGACCATTTGTACTAAATTCTGTGGTAAAGGGTATGATTGCCTTTTTAATGAATTATTTTATGGCAATAATTTGTACAATAAAATGATAGATTTTAGATTATATAAACCTTTAATACACTTCTAAAATCATGTTGACATATCAGTGCCAATCAAGTGAGACCCCCTTTGTATAAACTTTGTTGGAACAGAATCTAAATCTAAGATTTCTTTCATATTGCATTCTATGTATAAGACCAGGGAATAATATGCTAGCTGCAGTAAACTGCTATGGAAGTATGTTGGGGAAAATTCAATCTTAATTAATTATGGTATGATCCAAACCATGGAATTAGTATATATATCCATGTGGCTAAAATACAAAATTTTCCTCAGAGGCAGTGATGTGCTAAGTATACTCTACATTGTACTGATTCATATGTTTTCTAGTAGTGTTTAGTACAGCAGATCAACACCTTGTGAAAATTCATAACTTAGAAGGCATGCATTTGTCTTTTGTTGCTGTAGTCTCTATCTGTATAGTACGTTATAGCATTACGTGCTTTTACATGTTTTCTTAATTTTTATAGACTTGGAAAGTATACAGAGCAAACATTGCTATCTTTGTTTTATAGATAAGATATTAAGGCATAGTGTTAAATTTTTTATTCAAGTTATTAAACCAGGTCTAGATACTTTTAATCTCTTGTACATCTTCCTACTTTCCATAGAACCTAGCTTAGTGCCTTAACATTTACTGAAAACCTGCTTTATATGTGTATATTTTATGAGGGATGAAATTTGCACTATAAGTAGCTATAGGTTGAAGATTTACATTTTTATAAAGGGAACCTTAGATAAGAAGGGAGCCAATGAATTCTTTCTTACCATAAATATTTTGTTCTAAGAAGTGAAAATACCAGGATTCTTTAGTTTGTGATTTGCTTTTCATGATCATGTTTGTACCTGGCTTAAGACCTTGACTCTTGCTATACTCTTTATCTGGAATGCTCTTTTTTTTTTTTTCCTGTTCTTGTATGGCTGATTTGTTCTAACCAAACCAAAATTACTCTATTACCCACTTTTCTTGTCCTACTTTATTTGCATTGTACTGATTATTTATTTATTTATTTGTTTTTCTATTCCTCCTTCCTTCCCACTTCCACACTTCCAAGGAGAGTGTAAGCTCCATGAGAGCAGTGACCTACTTTGCCTTATTCACTGCAATATTTCTGGTGCTTAGAACTATGCCTGACATATACACATACAGTTTATCTTTTGAATTTAAAAAAAGCACCTATATTCCTGAGTAGAAACTCCAAAAGAAAAATTAAGAAAAAAGTATCTAATTTCATCAGTGTAAAAATTTGTTTTAAGCACTTTGTACAAGTTACACAGTGTTGAAATCTGTGGAATCCTTTCTTCTTTTTAAATTGTACCTTTCCTTTCTTAGGACTGATAATTCTATCAAAAATCATTGGAATTCTACTATGCGAAGAAAAGTGGAACAGGAGGGCTATTTACAAGATGGAATAAAATCAGAACGATCTTCATCTAAACTTCAACACAAACCTTGTGCAGCTATGGATCATATGCAAACCCAGAATCAGTTTTACATACCTGTTCAGGCACATACTTTTAATACCTTTATTATTTTAAAAAATTTCTTAAGTTACTATATGAGAAGGTGTTTTGTTTCTTAATAGGACAAGTACAATGCATATTAAGGGGTAAATAGAGAAATTGAAAAAAATGTGTAACTTTGATTTATAAGTATTTTGAGAACAGATTTATTAAAATGTTTCCTTTTATATGTAATTTTTACATTAAGAAACTATATACATTTCCTAATACTCTAATTCTTTGAATCTTCATTTATGATTCAAAGATAATGGTCATCTGTGCTTTAACATTCTACTGTACTTTCCATTTAAAAAATTTTGGTGTAATTATAGTATTGCTTATCTCTAAGAG